AGGAGATTCAGAAAGGAGTTGAGAGTATGGGATTATGTGTAGATATGAAATAAAGTGCTAAAAACAGTATTGTGATACACAATTGGCTATCTTCCTTTCTTTTATCTAGGCTATTGGAGCCCTTCTCATTTTTTCAAATTATTATTATTTCTTTTTAGATATCATAGGGTCTTGAGTAGACTTCGTATATTAGTGAATCGTCTAGTTTGCTTGTAATACGATTACTGGGTAGGAAGTGAAGTCAATTCAACGTCCGTAACACAATTTAATGAGGTATTTTGCATGATAAATCAGCATTAATACCTTAAGTTCGTGACATCTAACTAAGCCATAGTTAAAAAATTTTTATTATGGGTTAGATGTCCATTTAGTATATCACACTGCTATAAAGATAGCCAATGGTTTGAAGAAAGTAAGGACTAATAGCAAATCAAAGGATATGAAAGAGTATTTAATTGTAAAAAAAATTATTTTAGGATAAGAAAAATAAAACATTGAGCAACTCACAAGACTATAGGACCGGAAAGGTCAGTCAAGTATGAAGAAGACAGGTCAATTACTGAAATTCAAGGGCAGTAGAACAGGTGTGTAGAACACTTTGATGAACTCACGTATAGGCCAGCTCTACTGACCCCACCGGAAATTCAAGAAGGACCTACAGAACATTCCTATAGATGTCGCTCATCGACGATCAAAAAAATCAAGAAAACCATCAGGCAAATCAAGGTTGAGAAAGCAGAAGGACCCGAGAATACCTCAGTAAAAGAAATAAGTCAGACGTAGAAGTTGCGGATTTTAAATCCGCGCGGACTTCGCAATAACATCGTCTGCGCTCATCGCACTGCATGTCACTTCCCACAGAGTATCGGTAGCCCAAGTTTTGGCCATCACTTTATTTTCACTCTCTAGTCATCGATCACAGGATTTAATCTGGAGGCTAGACACAAACAGTACTTAGAGCAAAAATGAACTAATAACAGGAAAAACGTGGCTGACGCAGTCTGTAGACAACAGGGGGTTTGATTTTGGAAGTTGCGCATTAGCAAGAGCCGACAGAGCCCCGAAATGTAAAGGGGGAGTGGCCCCATTCATTATAAATACTATCCCATTTACCGTTATTGATAATATATTCCATGAAAGTGGGGCGTGTGAATTAGTCGTTTGTTGTTTGAAATGCAAATGACAATAGCTACTGCTAGTTTGATCTACCGCAGTCCCGAATGTAAAGTGAATAAGGCATTGCTAGACGGTTTCAACACATGATCATCAAGTAATCGATATTTATTCTTAGGAGACTTTAATGCACCAATGGCAGACTGGAAAAATCTGTGGACTTAGTTGTCGGAAAATTGTTTAGAACATAAACTAGCTGATGAGGCGATCACATGTACCTACGTGTAACATTGGGAAGAGTCAACTAGGTACGACCCAACCACCCAGTCATCCTTACGTGATCACATATTGACCTATCGTGAGGAAGACGTCACAAAATTCTGATACAATCCACTCCCATGCAAAGTGACCGTTCAATACTAATCTTTTATTTCTGTCTAGTTGTCAACAACGAGAGTGTGTCGGCCCAATCCAGACCAAACGTCTGTAAAGCGAATATACACTCGGCATCCTCAGTAGGTTGGTTAATCGGGTACGGAATTAATTTTCAGAAATCACACATTCAGACTTTGTCAGATAAAATCAGCAAGTCCTTTTACTTGAATTCTGCGTTCGAATAGTAAAAGCGCCTTCTTGGTTATGGATAGAAATGATCGTCATTACATTTCCTCTGGAAATCTAGGGGAGAAAACATATAAGTTAAAAGTATATGTGAATGTAGAGTAACGCCTAGAGTAGTTATCGTTCGTGAATAACAAATCAAAGTAAACGTCAAGTAAACATCTCCCACAGTAAGCTTTTTCTGATGGTTATCGGCCAGCGGACATCGAGTATCTTGCGTAGACAGTTGTTTATAAACAATTGAGCTTTTTGATGATGTTTGTAGTAGCTCTCCAAGTTTCAACTCCAAACAACAGAGTTGTTCCAATACACAATGGTGAGCAACAGAATTTTGTTTATAAAATCAACTGTAATGACTGTAATGCAACGTATGTAGGTGAAGCATCAAGACAACTGAATGTGAGGGTGAAGGAACACAAACTATGGTTAAAGCACATTCCTAAATCTTCAGTTGAGGTAAGAAAACACGAGAAAGAATCAGCGATAGCATTACCCTCGATAGAATCGGGTCATGCAATTGATTTCAATGGCACAAGAATCCTTCAAAAAGGCTTTAATTCTTACAAAAAAAGACTAACAGCCGAAGCCCTACATATATGGGCTAATCCAAACAGTATTAATAGGAGAGATGGAATACAACTAGCTGTCCCATGGCAACTAATAATTCATAAGTAAACCTGAACTCCTTATTCAATTCTATCTATCTATAGCATATTAACTAATCAATAGATAACCCCCAAATCCCCTGGTATGGCCGAGAGTGAGGTGGGCCCTCCCTCCCTCTCTCCCTCTCGAAATGCTCTCACATGGCCACGCATATACGGCCTCTGCCAGGGAAGTCCTACTCACTGCCCTCTCGTGGCGAGGGTGTTGTTTACGAAAATGAGAGGACGAAAAGCCAATGTCCGGCGCTTTAACCGGACCCCAAACCAAATCAATGTTGCACATGGGCTCCAGTATCCTGCAGGAACAAATGGCGTATGAACCAATCGTTGGTCACCGGCTACCATGGGAATGCATCTCCTTACGATGCTCCACTGCCTTGTGGATTAGACCTATAGGTCAAAGGCTCGGGGTGTGGTCCCCTAAGAAAACCACGTGTTTCGGTTTGGCGCATATATATTTGGTGCCCTCTTGTACCAATATTTATGTATTGAAATAAAAATAAAAGATAATACCTTCAACGGTTCGAACCAGTTATCTTATCTGAACATGTTAAATAATTGACTGGAACATTAAAATAACACAAACTTTCAATTACAAATACATTCCTCTTTGAATTCAGTCTTTTACCTTGTTTATTTATCGTCATTTAATGCATGATGTGACATTTTTGATTCATATAATATATAAAATGATATGTTTTCTTAATATACACAGACCGAAGACAATATATAGTTGAATGAAATTTCTTCTCACATCACTTACGTATACACACAATCTGTTATCTTAACACCGTTTCACACCGCATGTCTCTTACACACTAATGTAAATACCTACTTCAAACATTGTTCACGTTGGTTTAATGACTTATTCAGGATACAGTAAACCAGAGAATCATGTACCTATTTACGCTCGATAATTTTGTTTGATTATATTTTCCTTAAAAAAGCTTTGACCAGATTGCCAGACGAAACGTTGGATTTACTTCAAATTCTTTCGCTGGGATTTTACAAATGGATTCTTCCTCTTTAATGTTGTAGGTGTTTGTTTAAAATAGTGGGTCACCTAGGACTTATTCTTAAGTACAGAATATCTCATCTACAATATAGTTCATAGTCAATCCTGGTCGTTGATGGGCATCTGAATTTGTCGATTTATCTCTCGAACGAGGTACAATCTCAGGTTCCAGCATTGACATCAGTTAGTAACAATGTAGAACTTCGTACGTACGTACGTACATCAGTTGGAGTTGCCATATCACATTAGCACAGAGATGTAGCTATCTCTACAGACAACGTGAACAGGTGTCTCTCCTTATGCTCATATTTGTGTGTACTAAAATTGAAAGTTTGTCTGAGCACGGCAGCAGCGTACGATCACCATTATTTGTTCGTTGTGATGGAATACTATAATATCCACCTAAATGTCTTTCTGTTTGGCTTAAGCTACCTACTTGGGCATTAAAGTCACCTCCCACGAGTACTATGTCTGAACGTTTAGCTTTCTGAAGAAGTTCAGAGAGCTTTCTGTAAAATTCATCTTTCACTTCATCCGAGCTGCAGTCAGTGGGAGCGTAGGCAGAAACGACAAAATGGCAACTACGTGTGTCCCTATCCTTCCTAATTCTTACGGTGCCTTTTAGCCGAACAGCACATAAACGACTGTTAACGGGGATCCACTCTAACAATGCTTATTCTGCCCTCATGCTTAGCGCTGTGTCCACACCTGCCAGTCCACGAGAACTGGCCATCGCGTCACCAGATACACGGAGGGTGTATCTTGCTGGCTCTCTGTTTTCCCGAGGTGAGGTCAAGTAAATGACCACACTGGGATCGTGTATGCGTGTTTCGGAGACACAGCATACATCAATGGTACGAGATTCTAGGGTTTTAGCCAAGGAAGCCTGCTGACCGATTTGACAAAGGGTGCGTACGTTGATGGCTCCAATGTATAGTTTGGAGCGAGGTTTCAGTAGACCGGAAACAGTGTTTTGCGCACTAGAATTGTTGGCTATGGTGACACTTGAGGAGGAACCTGAAAGGGGAAGTTTAGAGTTGAAAGTCGATGTAGGGGGAATAATGAGAGTTGAAGAGGGAAGTTGATTATGAATACAGTGGTCTTGAGTGTTGTTAGAGGTATGAGAGCGGTTGTCACTTCCTGGATGCCCACACTGTGGAAGGAAAGGGTTTATCAAAACAATGTCCCTAAAATATTTTGGGGAGTTTCCATGGACCTGGGGAGATTTCGGGTTTTTTTATGCCATAACTTCAAAGTCTTCTATTGTGGCTTCCCCAAATTAGGGAGATTGGGTTATATACTTCTTTCAAACGAGTCCCAACTTGTAAATCCGGATAACATAACATAATTGAATACTCGTCCTATGTCATGCATCATTAAGATAGCACCACGTTAACTACTTGAAGGATTGACGTTATCAGACATAGTGTGGCTGAACTACAATGAAATCCATAAACATCTTGATTTGACCGCGTCTGCGATACTTCATGAATTAATGATGTGACGCACCAATCACCTTACGACAGTTTGACCTTCAAGTGCTCGCAAACTTCAGTGGACTCACCACTGAAGCGTTGTTCTATTCCACTTTACATACAGTCATCTGAGGTTGGTAGTTTCATGTGATATTGTCAGTTATTAAATAACGTCTACGCTATTGGTATTCACTGTTACTCAGTTGTTTATTCCTGCTCCCAGTAATTTTCTTTGGCCACCATCGACCCTATGTTTATCTTTAATTAAGTTTCGCTTGGTCTGATTATTAGAGCTTTATTGTAGTGTGAATTATTTTTTCTATCTGCTCTTCGACTTACTATAAGCTCCAGTCGATGTGTTATTCTGCCATGCTGAGATGAACTGTTCTGTTAATTGCAGAAAAAACTCCAAATGACGTTTTGTTCCCTTTTAATATCATTAACCGAATTAGGTGAATGCAGGTAAGGTGGATACAGGTTATTCTAAGTAAGTTAAGTTATGTTGAAGTCATCAACACATCAAACATTAACCTAAGAAAAAGCAAGTTTCTACGTCCAACACTAAATCCGTAAGTCAGCTTAGTTACTAACTTCATATCAAACGTATTAATATTGTGACAAATATGACACAGTGGGTTGGATTTTTTTCTAAGTAAATTAGCATCAAGTTTGCTAAAACATTCGAATTCTGAAGACCCTTTACTTCGGTTGCTTCAAAGTAACTTGTTAGGATGTGATAAATATACATGTTTCTAACAGTCCTCACTCACTTGGGGTTAAAAATTCGGTGCCCTTCGATAAGTTGTCATTTAACTGTGTATCGCCTAATAAATCATTTTAGAGTTAATTATCTTTTAACCTGCTTTTTATCGGTCAATGGTCATGTAATCTTGCCTGTTGTTTGTGTCAATGGTATGATATTTTGATTCATATTCAAGAAATTTGGTGTATCCACTGGGCTCTATCTAAAGGTTAGGATCGGAGATCAAGATCTACAGGAAATTACATGCCGTATCATAATCTCGGTTGAATAAAAACATTTACTGGGTAAAATCAAGGTGGACGAGGCCTAAATAAAAGCATTGAGTCTGCAAACCGGTTAACGTGCAATTTGATCCGGTTAATAGCGCAATAATTGCTAGAAACGAGTGCTGCAATATACGATTTCAGCAACCGCGCATCCACCTCTGATTTTTATCTCAACGCGTACCACGAAGATAAGTAGAAGTACATTTTCCTATTACGATGTGGGTTGTCGAAATAGCTACTTTACTATACTACCAACTTGTAGGTTGTAGGTGTTTAAATAAGAAATTCCGTCTAAATTTGAAACAATAGTTCCACAATATTTGGGCGCCGAGTTAATGTGAGATATTAAGAAGGAAGAATGTATTTGTAAAATCTCAGCGAAATAATTTGAAGTAAATCCAACGTTTAGCCTAGCAATCTGGTTCAAGCTTTTTCAAGAAAAATAAGAAAATTTGAGCAGATGTTTAAACATTCGTAGAAATCCAACAATGATGAGATTAGAAATGAATCCAAGGAACTCGATATAAACAAAATAGTGGTAAATCTATCTGACAGACATTTAAATCAACACGAACTATCACTACTTAAAAATGGTCTCAATTTCAATATGGACAAAACACGAATTTCGGCCTCTGAAGTTATTCCGTTGATCGAACCTGTCTTAAACAGTGTTCCAGATGATCAAGCGGATTCAGTGAGGTTTAAAATCTGAGCTGCATTGTTGAATCAAAAACCAAGTACGCCTAATATTTCTAAAGAAGAAACGTATGCCCTAAAACAGTTACGTTAAGACAGAAAAATTGTTGTTATGAAAGCAGACAAGGGAAACACCACTGTTGTTAGGAATAATTATATGAAAGAAAAGTCAATGAACATCTCCACAATAGACCCTATAAAAAAATCATGAAGAACAAATGTAGAGCCACTTTAAATGAGTTGAAAGCTGAAACGGCCAAGATCCTACGTAAGTTAAAGTCCAAACTAGGACCATCTTTATGGTTCTCTTAATATCTAAAAGGCAATAACCCTTGTAGATTTTATGGCCTACCGAAAATACATAAAACGGATATCCCACTAAGACCTGTGGTTGATTACATAAATTCAGCAACCTATAATCTTTCTAGATACCTGGCCAAAATTCTTAAACCATATGAAAGCGTAATAAAATAAGGAATAAAAAATTCCAATGATTTCAAAAACATTGTCCGTAATATCCGCATAGAAGAGGATGAAATAATGGCAAGTTTTGATGTTTGCTCATTGTTAACTAATGTTACTGGTAATAAAGCTTTAGATGTTGTATATAACCTCTTAGATTCTGACACTGAACTTAAACAACGTTGTCCTTTAGATCCCTCAGACATTATTAGATCTTTGGTTTTATGCTTACATTCAACTGTTTTCAGCTTTCGGGGAGATTTGTACAGATAAACAGAAGGTGTAACTATGGGATCACCGGATTCTCCTATTGTTGCTAACTTATTTATGCATTCACTGGAAGCAAGTGCTATCTCAATTTGTTCCATTCCACCAGAAATTTGGTTAAGATACGTAGATGACACTTTTGTCATTATAAAATGAGATGATTTAGACGAACTATTTCAACGTGTCAACAGCATTTATGACAAAATCAAGTTCACTAAAGAGTTGGAATCTCCTGAACGCAAATTACCTTTTCTAGACTGCTCGGTTGAAAGGAAGTATAATGATCGTTTAAAAATTAGTATTTTCCGAAAGCCGACATGTTCGGGGAAATTTCTAGACTTTAAGTCTGCGCATCCACGCCCTACCAAAGTGACAGTAGCCAGAAATTTGATCACCAGAGTCAAAAAACTTGTCGCTGAACAAAATGATATAAAAATGGAAATGAATTTAATTGTATCCACTCTAATTATGAATGATTGTCCGAAGGATTTTATTAAAAGAATAATTAGCAATGAAGGACAAAATGTTATTATTAAAAAAAGAGTTATGCAAAAAGAATGGATTAACACAGTGGTGATCCCACATCGTAAAGATATTTCAGAAGAGATCAAAAGAATCCTAACTCTTTAACATCTAAGAGTATTCTTTCGAACAAACAATACTCTAAGATCAAAACTAGTAAGAATCAAAGATCCAATACACAATGGTGAGCAACAGAATTTTGTTTATAAAATCAGCTGTAATGACTGTAATGCAACGTATGTAGGTGAAGCATCAAGACAACTGAATGTGAGGGTGAAGGAACACAAACTATGGTTAAAGCACATTCCTAAATCTTCAGTTGAGGTAAGAAAACACGAGAAAGAATCAGCGATAGCATTACCCTCGATAGAATCGGGTCATGCAATTGATTTCAATGGCACAAGAATCCTTCAAAAAGGCTTTAATTCTTACAAAAAAAGACTAACAGCCGAAGCCCTACATATATGGGCTAATCCAAACAGTATTAATAGGAGAGATGGAATACAACTAGCTGTCCCATGGCAACTAATAATTCATAAGTAAACCTGAACTCCTTATTCAATTCTATCTATCTATAGCATATTAACTAATCAATAGATAACCCCCAAATGCCCTGGTATGGCCGAGAGTGAGGTGGGCCCTCCCTCCCTCTCTCCCTCTCGAAATGCTCTCACATGGCCACGCATATACGGCCTCTGCCAGGGAAGTCCTACTCACTGCCCTCTCGTGGCGAGGGTGTTGTTTACGAAAATGAGAGGACGAAAAGCCAATGTCCGGCGCTTTAACCGGACCCCAAACCAAATCAATGTTGCACATGGGCTCCAGTATCCTGCAGGAACAAATGGCGTATGAACCAATCGTTGGTCACCGGCTACCATGGGAATGCATCTCCTTACGATGCTCCACTGCCTTGTGGATTAGACCTATAGGTCAAAGGCTCGGGGTGTGGTCCCCTAAGAAAACCACGTGTTTCGGTTTGGCGCATATATATTTGGTGCCCTCTTGTACCAATATTTATGTATTGAAATAAAAATAAAAAGATAGTACCTTCAACGGTTCAAACCAGTTATCTTATCTGAACATGTTAAATAATTGACTGGAACATTAAAATAACACAAACTTTCAATTACAAATACATTCCTCTTTGAATTCAGTCTTTTACCTTGTTTATTTATCGTCATTTAATGCATGATGTGACATTTTTGATTCATATAATATATAAAATGATATGTTTTCTTAATATACACAGACCGAAGACAATATATAGTTGAATGAAATTTCTTCTCACATCACTTACGTATACACACAATCTGTTATCTTAACACCGTTTCACACCGCATGTCTCTTACACACTAATGTAAATACCTACTTCAAACATTGTTCACGTTGGTTTAATGACTTATTCAGGATACAGTAAACCAGAGAACCATGTACCTATTTACGCTCGATAATTTTGTTTGATTATATTTTCCTTAAAAAAGCTTTGACCAGATTGCCAGACGAAACGTTGGATTTACTTCAAATTCTTTCGCTGGGATTTTACAAATGGATTCTTCCTCTTTAATGTTGTAGGTGTTTGTTTAAAATAGTGGGTCACCTAGGACTTATTCTTAAGTACAGAATATCTCATCTACAATATAGTTCATAGTCAATCCTGGTCGTTGATGGGCATCTGAATTTGTCGATTTATCTCTCGAACGAGGTACAATCTCAGGTTCCAGCATTGACATCAGTTAGTAACAATGTAGGACTTCGTACGTACGTACGTACATCAGTTGGAGTTGCCATATCACATTAGCACAGAGATGTAGCTGTCGACTCAAATTCCGTAGTGGTGACATCATTGATAAGAGCCATTTCGGACTAATATTTAAGACGGTCTATATATATGTAATAAGGCATATATCTAGTAGATTCTTACCGGGAGATCATTGGATATAGGTGAGTATGATCAGACGAGGATCGGGGTTGATAAACAAAATAGTTTGCAGAGTGCAAACTAGGGAGTAAAGACGTCTCATCACGCAAAGGGTGAGGGTATTTCATATGTGATAGTCAATTCAATATCCCGTAATGTGTACTACTGATTATCAGTAACTATGCATTTATTGAGACAATTTAATTTGTTATTTACAGATAAATTTTTCTGAGTTTATAAATTGTTTTGTGTCTTAGCAGGTTATTTTAACTTGATCACAATTTTTGACATCTTATACCAATCGGTATTAACTAGTTCCGACTTAATAGTAGCTACCAGTATATAATCCGCGTTTACACAAATTGCATAGGAATGCGACCATCATGGATACATTTATCCTAAATGTCCTTAGTCACTGTAAATATAAGACATTACTTCAGCATTGGCTGCCGTCATCGCTTGAATTAGTGATGGGGAGTGGAGTAGTCGAACGCATCGACCGCTCCACTTATATTGGTAGTATCATCACTACTGATGGTTTGGTGTCTGAAGTAACCTCAGCACGTATTCAGAAGGCTCGATTGGCTTTTACCAATTTGTGTAGGCGAGATACCCCTCCTCCAACCAAAGGGAGAGTTTACTGTCCAGAAGTTCTCTTCATTGTATTTTATGAATGTAAAACATGGTCATGAAGAGTAGAGGACACTCATACGTTACTGGTATTCGATCATAAGCGTCTACGAAGTGTCGTTTGTGTATTTTCGGAGCATGGAGTAAGCCTAAATTAGGAGTAGAGTACTCGGCTATGATGAGTAGTCGATTGTTGAGGTAGTAAATCTTCAACTGAGGTTGTTGTGACATGTGTCACTTATGCCCAACCACCGCCTACATCGACGGGTTATGTCTTTGGGTGCAGGAGTAGGCTGGAAGAAAGTTAGGGACTGCCAAAATAAAACATGGCATCACTCCATGAAGCCACTGACAGCCATGTTAATAGGTACGCACTACCTTGTTGGGGTCCGTGTGACTATCGTAGCCAATGGTTAGAGACTTTGAATAACATGGCTGAAAATAGTTTGTAACGGCTCAGGTGCATCCATTCTTTGTCTTCCCTCAAATCCTGAGATTCTAAGTTGCTCATAAGTCTCTGCGTTTTTATCTCACTAATTTATATTTTCTTTTCGTGTCGCATCTTCGATGACTTATCTTTCCTAATTACGACGGATACTGTTACTACATCTACCATTCTAGGATTTGGCCTGATAACATCCCTCTTTTAACGGGGTATGACGTGAACCGATGTACGTACGTACAGGTTCTACGTTGTGACTGACTGATTCACGGCAATCCAATAAAATACGTCTTGAAATGTTTATTTTTGGGTTTTGTAAATTAATGTGTTCCGTTCATTATGGTTCAATTTTACTTGATGGTCATTGAATATGCTTAAGTTAGTTTTCTTATCTAATGCTTAATATAACTTTACTATTAATTTTTTAGGACACAAAAGCGATACTACAATTATATTCACAAGTTTAAATTATGGCAAAGCATCATCCAGACCTTATTTTCTGCAGGAAACAACCAGGTGTTGGTAAGACTGTTGAGTTTCACTACTATCCTTAACAAAGCTATCGGTCGTCTGTGTGAAAAGTGTGATGGGAAGTGCGTTATTTGTGATTCTTATGTTCGCCCGTGTACTCTTGTTCGCATATGTGACGAGTGTAATTACGGATCATATCAAGGACGTTGTGTTATATGTGGCGGTCCAGGGGTTTCGGACGCTTATTACTGTCGACAGTGCACGTGTCTGGAAAAGGATGTGAGTGTTTCTCGATTCTCTTTAATTAGATATTTTTACTTAGAGAGATGGGTGCCCTAAAATCGTCAATTTAGGAAGTGCGAAAACTGATCTGTTTTATGAACGTAAAAAATATGGATTCAAAAAACGTTGACATGTTCCGAAAAATACATCTTTTGTAAATGTTTTTCACTTCATATATTATCAGTAAAGCTCTCTATAATGATCTCTTTTCAGGTGTTACTTTATGGTGATATGATTATTATTCTCAACTTAATTGTATTTATAGTATGCACATTCTTGTTATATGTACAACGTGACTTTCGGAAGTTGAAAGGATACTCCGGGTGTTATCATTGATAATTGGCAACCTCTGAGGTTTTTTAAGGAATGTGACCTCCAAAACATTATTTAACTGGAATCTGAGTAAAAATAACACGTCAGTAACTTTATCAAAAGCTGGTTGTTACGAGTGGTAGGAAGTCTCAAGGAGCTTTACTGGTTTCAGATTATTTTCCACTTCTTTACCAATTAAGTGGTGACTCTTAGACCCTAAATACAGTTTCTAACGTCAAATCAAGCTAGTCGTAATGGGTAAAATTCAGACCGTTTGATAATTCATCATCATTGTGGATCTTTTCGTTGCTTAGGAAAATTAAATAAGTTCATGCCAAATAGTAACAGAGCCTAGGTCACGTAGTTCCTAAATTATAATCCATCGTCTAACTTCAGTTACTAGGAGCACTTTTAAAACTGATAACTTACTATATTAGATGGCGTGGAAAATAATGATTGGGGATCTCAAACGGGGATTCCTTAAAACTTTCCAAAGACTTGTTTGTTATATCTGTTAGGGGAGACGCAAATAGCAATCGAACTAGGTAATTGTTTGGTCTCCCAGCTTATCGGTTGTATTAACACGGTGAGTTTGGTGTTAATACGACGTTTTATGGAGTAAATAATCCATCTAATTCACCGTAAAACCTGGCAGGAGTGTTTATCAGTCCCAGCTGGCTCACTGCACATTACCAAAATGGAGGAGGAAATTCATAGAACAGGGAGCTTAGGAGGTAAAATAATGTCAAACCCAATGTGTTGTGGAGCTCAATTTTTCTGTGCTATGATAAATACATCTCTGATTAAGAGGATGATTCAAAACCTGATCAACTAGTGATGTACAGTGATAATATAATAGCTGGCGACATTGAATTCTTGACAAAAGCCCTAAAATGAACTGATGTAAAAACGTAGCACAAAAATCATTAAATGAGGGTTATCTGGTCATGTTTACGTACAAAATATGAAACGTGATTAGGAGCAGTTTGGAACAGGAGGAATGTGGATATATAAGTTTTGTATGTCACTCACAAGTCAATGATTTACTCATTCATAGCAAATATAAACTGGCACAATGAGATATCAAAAAGTGCTAGACTAGCGAAATGATAATATTGTGAGGGATGAAAAAAGTAAGTGGTCTCAGAAAATAAATGAACAAGAAAAGTGTTCAGTAAAAGATACAATGAAGTCAAAATCAATGCTCCATTATAGAAATTCAAGTAACGTTTTACGAAGAATTTAGGAAAAACCCAGTATGATCGCTTCCGTCCACAGCCATATCTAATGGCTTCTTAAACCGCTGAGTTCCACAATCTCTAAAAACCCAGCCAAGAAGTGATGAACCGATGTGCCCATCGTAGACACCTATCTATCATACCACAGCGCTGGTCGATCCTCCTTTTTTTCACTTAGCCAGCATCGGGAAATAATGGGCCTTGTGGAAGCCGATTGAACGATACTAGTAAACCATGTTTGAACTGCTAAAGCCGGTTTTTCAAGATGGTGACACCAAGTGTACCCAAACATATTACAGAACCGCCAGGATTATCGGATGTTACCAATTCTTCAGAGGCAGAGATAATCATGCACAGTCCCTAAACATTCTCAGCTCTACAAGGATAGCAGAACCGCTCTCACCGACACGTATATTCGGTCTTTTATAGTCAAGTTTGCAGCGTCACGTTTCAACCGAAAACGGCACAGATCGGCATAAGCTACTCTGGCTCGCACCATTTGATAGGTTTACTTGACCCCCACGGTGATCGCAGATTCAATATCCTGTTAGTCTTGCAGAAGTGTTTTGCGTTTCGAATAAGTAAATTAGACCCCGTACATGAGTACGCTAATCACTAACTAAGAAGTATACTTCAAAGACAACTTAAACCGAAGAATAAAAATATGGAGCCGTAATAAACTTGAGATTTAAAGAGAAGCAAGGCTTGAGTATAACTACCGGAGTAACCGACTTTGGATCGTACTACCGATTATGACTAATGTACAGACTCCAAACCGCACGTCCGCAACTGACATGGTTAGCACCAACATTCAATTGATGAAATAATAGCATCTCTTAACTTGACCCCCTTCATACTTTCTATGCGAGTAGGTAGTTTGCTTCCGAGTAAGCTCTAGCTAGATATATGTAATAGTCCTAGACACCTTGATCAATAAAGTTCTAAAGCCTCAATAATGGTCGTACCATTTTACCTAGTACTTCTTGCTTGACCATAGCACTACCGACTCGGTCATTCCACTATCTGTGACCAACGGTTCAAAGGTGCCGTTGATCAAACTCTGCGAACACACAGTTCTTTCTTATGAATCTCGCTTTATAGCCGTAGAGCAGTGCAAATTGGACTTCTGTCTAGCATTCATGCTCCTTAATAAACACACCTTATCTGCGCTACAGGTGGAGAAAGTTTGTAGAAGCCAACTTTATTATCTCATGGGAAAACTACATTGACAAATAATCCGACGGATTCAAGTCACCAGTGTAATAATACCTTACAATATTTATTAACTAGTTATCTAAACTAATTTGATCACCTAAGAAATTCTCCAGATTAAGTTTGGGAACACATCACCTGAACGGTATCCATTTGTCAGTAAAAGTAGATTCGACCATCTAAAGTATCGGCTAGGATTTGTGAGTCATACCTAGAATGTGTTGTGAGAAATCATTTAGTAGGCATGCATCAATACTAAGTAGTGAATAGTAAGAGGTGGCAGTTGAGACATTCAATTCCTTCGATGGCTCAATAGTCATAGGATTGTACTGATCGCAACAGTACTAGTCTTAGTTTTCTGAGCAGACCGACATATAGTTTCAACATAAATGCAGTAGTTCGTACCAACGTTCGTTAATCCAGTTGCTAATTAGGGAGAACTGTCTTCCGAGTATGTCCACAGTTTAAACATACGTTGTCGATCCTACTAAACTGTAGCTGTCAGATTGGTATTTTGTGGATCTAATTATCTCAAAGGATAACAAACTATTATTTAGCTTATACAGTTGGGAATCATGAGTTATTTAGTGGTTGTATCTACTAAGCATGTTGATACTAGTATTCCGAAAGGAAGTCTGATCACAATTTCATTTTGATCAAATGACTGAAAGTCATCACATGTTGATGGGTTTTGCACTTTCACTTTAGCATGAAATAGGTTGCATTGGCATGTTAGGCAGTCGCAGATATATCTCAATACCACTGTCGTTCGGTACTTCTTAAATACAGGACTAATGACCACGACATTTTCCAATTAGATTGGTCATAACCATTAAGGTCTGAAAAATATTCACTTGCGATTAGAAATCAGAAGTACATTAAGAATTATTTTCCAAGGTTACACTTCCCATTAGATTAATGCGGTTCACTGACATGAAAAGATAGCGTGTCAAAGGGCGACTGCCGCTTATCCCTAAATATTTAATCTATTCTCATTCTCCAAACTCACACCACTGAGTTTAGTAAAAATAGGTACGGAGAATCGCAAAAACTACTTGCTTTTGTGACCTCAGGTGCAAGCTTTTACTCGATGATCCACTTTTGAAAATTGACAGTTTACCAACTAGTAAGCATCTAAAAACACCATGATTAGAAGTTCGAAATCCGGTTAATGCCAACAAGCTTTAAACGAATGGGATTTTACGAGCCATCACTTAGTACGTTTGACCAGATAAACGCGCCTCAATCGTTTTACGAACAGAGAAACAGGGCTTGACTACCAGGTCTTACATGTAGAAAACCATATCAGCCAGTTTACGACCTGTTTTGTCACAACAGCATTTCTATAGCGACAAACGGTTTTGCTTAACATGACAGGGTTAGCTTTACTTGTACTCTAAAGTAATCTTCACTAGGTCAAAGCAGGTTCACTAACATATGAATCACATAAAGTATTTTTAGTCTAAGCAGAACATCTACAAGTAAAGTATTGTGAATAAATTTAACGGTTGTAATATTTTCGTAGTGACCCAGCCTAAACGTACTTCAGATTCATCAAGTAAGCAAAACGCTTATAATTTTTATTTGATTGAAATATTCAAAAAATAGTTCGCAATCGTGACTACACTGGAAGTAATTTAGAAAAGCACAAAGCTTGGAACATTTAGTTACAGAAATAATAACTGGGAAAGTTATATCTACAGTTTGGGATTGGCATAAAGATTAGTTATTATTTACTAACTTTTCAAGGCAAGACATGATAAATATACATGTACATTGAAAATTTGTATATAAAATTAACACGATTTGAGTCATGCTACTGCGTTTCAGAAAGTGCAACTTTATTAACTCTTGTTCCGTCACGAGGATCAATAACTTCCAACGGTTTCTTCGGGAATCTTCGGTTGAACACTGGTTTTTCCTCGCTATTCCAATGAGGCTCCACCGCAGTCATACCTAAGTGCATCACGTATGTTTGACTAGGGTCATCTGGAAATATTAAAGGTATTTTGTAAAATAATGATACACATTTTACGCATTGTTTACTCACTGGTTAGAATTTATGAAATTTGATGAAGATAAATATCGTATAGGTCTCCAGTTATTGCTATCCAGAACTTGACAATACCAGAAATTTTGTAACCTTAAATCATTTAACACTTTGTTAGGCTTACGGTATAATATTTTAATGAGCTTATTATGACAGTATATGGGGTGTTAATCAAAAAATCGTGTGGAAAGCTAGGAATGTTACTTTTTCTTTGCAGCTAAAGTGGATATCATAATTACAATCAGTTTAGCAACAAATTACCATAGTGCTTGTCTTTACCCTTTCTATCTAATAATCATATATTTTCCAAAACCCGGCTCTAATCACCTACTACTTAAAAACTCATCAATCGTCAACAATGGATTTCCAATCTTTCAAAATTCACCCAGTTTATCATAAAGCCAGTTCCGACCACAAGTTTTACATAAACTAAAACGATCAAATAGAAAGGGGAAACCGACTAATAAACACTAACGTTTTCAATGCACATTATGAAACTGTGTTGGATACAACCTTACTAACAAAAATATAGAGTTCTATAGTGTAACTTTGAGCAAGTTTATACCATTTTTTTGCAGTACACTTGTAATGTCTGAGTTCGTATATGTGGAATATTTAGATCCACCTGTCAAAAAATAACAAAACTTGGTATTACAAGAATAAAGTTGTGGTACATATTAGCATCACAAATTGTGCTTGTGGTTCTTAGCAGTGTTGGCTCTGTAGTTGCTATGACTTTGTAACTGAGTACGTATTTAGTTTGACACGCTTCACCACGTATTGATCAAATCCTTATTGAAATGAAATCTTCACATGGTAGCTTCCCTCCCCAAGAATCATAGTTTGATAAACAAACTATGTGAAAACCAAAATTAGTAGTGTCAGATCGTCATCTGAACTTCGGTAAGATAATCCGTAAGGTATATTCAGTAGTATGCATCTAGTGGGCAACTGTCTTATGCTTCAGTCTACGTTTATTGCATATACAATGCAGTACCTAGTAAGAAGTTACAAAATACTGGTGAAATGTCATGTAAATGATTTGTAGGAAGTTTCTGTTAGCTCCAAGCTACGTTTATTACAAAGTGGAATTTTAATTAATAATTACCCGGATAAGTTCCAAAATAAATAACTAAGCATACTGAAGGGAACTTACTTGTGACTCCACATGGCACATGATCAAAACAAAGAGTCGTGGCTACTGGCACTGGTAAATTCATATTTTGAATTCCATTTCCATATAAACGATGTATCTGAGCTTGATGAGCATTAGGTAGTACGTAGTTTGACATCACAGTGCTTGGAGGTTGGTAGCGTGGATCATGCTGAAATATATTTGGGCAATATATAGTTTGTAAATGTGGATTGACAGATGAATATTCAGTAGGAATACGTCTGCTATATTCTATGGAGGGCTGGAAATGTGTTAGAGAAACTGGATGCACACTCATACTGACTGGTTGAGAGTTCGCTTTTTGTTGACTAAACGTGTTGATACCAGTGATTTTAGTGCAGACCTGATCTTGAGTTGCAATTACGTCTTTACAGTCCGCTGCAGATTTATGTAGTTGAGTAACCTCATCTACATTCCCTGGGGTGCTTAACTTTGTAACCACTAAGTCCTTAACGTCAACAGAACCACACGACTCTTCAGTGTGTACAGGAGATGGAAGCCGCAATGGTGTTTTTTTATCGGTAGATGAATCAATGTTAGATACATTTTGTCGGACAGCAGAATACCGTTTTGGAACTCTTTCTCCACGTTTTACTTGTTCGCGGATGTGACTTGAGTGCTTTATTACTTGAGGTTTGTAAACTCTTCTGATTTTTGTGTTTACTGGAGCGAAGTTAATGGCCTGTTTCTTACTGACATACTGATAGTTTGAGACTGGGGGCTTTGACGAGTCTTCCCTATTATGTCTGGAAAGATTGGAGCTGGATGTGTAATATGAATGGTTTAAACCCTGTTGATGTTTACAATATGAATCATGTGTGTTAGTTGAATAAGCAGGCTTCATATCAAGGGTCGGAGTAGGATGACTGCGATGCACATTAGTTCCAGATACAGAATCCTCTTTTATGGGTCTTGAAGAAGCTTGAGTTTGAAACTCATCCGTAATTGAATCTTTCCGTGTGGAGAAATTGCGTCTATGACAGTCGCTTTTTGTAAAGCGACTATAACCATTATACTTGATGCTAGAGTATGTGATGGTTTTTCCTTGGGTTCTAGCAGAACGCTTTTGACCTTCGTTACCGCACAACACACTGTTTCGCACTTTGGTACTGGTTACTTGACTCGGTTGATGTGAAGAATGGTATGTCTCATTAGTCTCGCAGGGGATGGAGGTTGTCGTAGGGACGTTACTTTCATCATTAGTATCAGACTTATTTGCAAACGGACATATGTTTTCTTTACGAATATCGTACCATACCTCCATATGATTTCCTCTGTAGACCTTGGGGCTTGATCATAATAATTAAATTTGTCATGCTGCCATCGTCGATTACTTTCTCGCTTTTTAACCACTACAACGTCTTCTTCTAGTGTACGATGGTCATGCATATAGTACCTCCCACCTCGTGGTATGTACGCTGGATTTGTTTTGTCCTGATCAGCATCAACGTCGAAATCTATGTCTGCAGCATCAGTACCTTCCTGCGGTAACGAATTATTTTCTTTTTCATTAACGTGAAGTTCGGTTACACCGTCTAGCACACTATTCACAGCAGAATCGTCACTATTCCTGATGTCATGACCTTCCTCGTTTTCACTCCAATAACTGTTGAAATCACTACATGAGTGTACCAGACTCACGCTCTTCCCTGAGACGTCATCTGAATTGTCAGTAACTTCACGGAGACCATGACGTTTGCGTGCACCAGGAAGATTTTCTTCGTCTGAATGTCCATTTTCATAGTTTACATCATTCAAACTGTCGGACGACGAAGCATTGCTTGAAAAATTATCGTTCAAAAGCAACCCCGACGAACTTTTATGTCGATGAAGTGTATGCGTTTTATTCCCTGAGTGCATCTGATAGTCTAGTATATCATTAAGAGATTTGGAAGTGTAGATTTCATAGTGACCTCCGAAGCCCCTGAACTTTCCCTGAGGTCCCGAAAGATTTTTTGAACCTAAGTGGTCAATAAATTGTTTATTAACAGGTACTAAAAGTTTAGCTGAATAACCTTGAAGATTGGTATCATTAGATTGACCGAGGTCCGTGTTGAGAGGTACTTCCTCACAAGACCGAGATCTATTTATTGTACCATCTAGGTAGTTATAGTTCCATAAAACCGGATTAGGCTTAAATACACTTACTAACGAATGCCATTTCATACAAGGAATGTTCCCAAGGTCTATGTTCTGCATACAGAGGCGGAAAGTAACGTACTAATTGAAAATGCCCACACCGTACTTCAAAAACAAAGGGTTTTGGACGGAATAGAAGAAGCTTTCATTTTACAGGCTTCAGTGTGTGTCCTTATCCTTTTTCAGCCAGGGATGAAAAACTGTTTCCGCACTCTAAATGAGGACGAGTAAAACTGTTGAAGATTGGATGGAAACTTCTGCCTAACTGGTGGATAGTGCATAGTACTAAATTATATCTGAACCTGTTATAATTCATGAGGCATAGGTTCATATATCATAAGATTTTAGAGTCTAACTGTTATTATACAAATTTATTCGTCATGTGGTCGATCTACGTCATGTTTTAGAGTACAGTGAATAACATAGTACATAAGTCTACAAAGAGACAATTTCATAACTGTTTTGTACAGGTATAACTATAATACGATGATAAATGATCCATCACTATTGTGTTTTATTTTCCAATTCAAAGTTCAAAGTACGGGGTCACATATGAGTGAAAATCAGTCTATTCATGCCAGGAAGAAGAGACGAGAGTGTCATCAAGAAGCAAGATTGACGTCTGTAACTGCAATACTACTTCCAATAAGCCGTGAGGCAACGAATATAATATTACTGAGATAAAAACTAGACATTTCAGACTTGGAGCTAACTTCGCAAAAACTTTTAAAACATACAATGATAGTGATTACAAGTAAAAGACAAATAAAAGACTCAAAGTTGGAGAAAGGAGCAGATCAGTACATTTTCATACAAAACGATGACTGCGATATTTCCACCCTGGTTGTTAGAGTATTTACGTTAATATAATTGATTTCTTGAAATGTAATTATGGGGTTAAAAACGTACACACTGTATCGTTGTAGCAACATTTATGTACTGATTATGCTCGTTGGGCGTCGTGAAATATAAGCTGGAGACCAGAAATCTCCAGACTACCTTTCTTAGGCCTTTCCATCAATTTCCCCAAGTGCTACTTATCCTTTTAACATATCCTTCCAATTCTCAGAGCAATTGTTTTTGGCATACCTTACGCTTTTAGGACTTCAAGTTAAGCCTTGAGTTATGATGAAGTTCAATGATGTTACAAATACTATAAACCACAAACCAAGTGTCTCGGCATCATTTGTTACTCTACGTGATTCACCCAAAACTGACACCTTGATGGAACTTTTTGAACAGAATGAATGACCGAAGATTGTAAAAGGGTCTGACTGAAATTATTTACTTCTGTGAAACAATTAAATGGCGCATATCCTGACTTTTGACCTGAAGCTATATCCCTTTCTTCAACTAAATATACACAGGCAGAAAGCCGGATAATCACTTGTCTATACGCAACCTTGCCAATTTCAAAAATCTTACGCAAACTCCAAAACATCCATTATTGGTAATTTTGTGAGTATGTCGCGTGGTGTCGAGTCGCGGTTGACTATGAATACCGCTACCAAGGAACACGTTCCAGGATATCCATAAAATCTCCCAAAAGCGAAATATCAGAAGGTAGTTAATGGACCAAGTCGAGATATATTTGCTGGCGATCTCGTGGTATCGAAAGGATAGCGATATCGTGCCTGGATACAAGCTTGGTTACAGAACGTAACCGAATTCGCGCGAGGTCACAATCAAAGTGTGTATAATGTATGATTTTAGCACAGTTAAACAAAGAGCACATTAAACAGTCACTGGTACAATTGGTTATAATATAATAATTGTTTTCATCAAACCAATCGTGTTCTCGTGATAAAAGTGAGTCACTACAAGTAGTATCAAAATTACTAATTCCCAAACCATTCATGATTTATTGTCGTACAAATGCTTAGTTAATGCTCCAGAAGATTCCGAACTGGAAACTATGAAGAAAGTGAAAAAGTAATCGACTATATATTCAAAGAGGTGTTTAAAAGACTTCAGTGTATACAAGTTGCCACAATGTATAATGTGCCTGGCAATGAAAGCTTAAGGTATGCCGAAAAATACCTTACTACAAGTGTATAGATTGTCATGCTCCTGTTATATAATACGGAGAGAACATGAAGTTCAGACTAATGTATTCTATTCCACTCTCTATCAGCTCAGTAGCATCACAGAAGCTAGTCACCTAATTATTAACCAGTAGCTGCTTATGCGCACTTCATTATTTAAAGAGATTAATATCATCCGTGACACGAGCTCAATTTAACTTCAAACCATCGAAAATGCGTAGACTGACCGACCCAGTCTATGCTTCGGCAACAGTCACAACGATGACCGCTGAGCAAGCAATAAAGTACTTTCTCCTGCTTATCCTAAAACTAAAGGCTCATTGAGCACGGCTACCGGTACAAAGATCAGGTTTGTATATTAAACAACTGTAATTATTGATCCTGTAATGTCCCAGCGGAACCGACAAATATCTGGTCAGTTAGTCTAATAAAATTCATTTGAAAGCAATAACCGTTTTCTACGGAAGTACAAAATCATAAAAAACCCTCTTAAAATAACCCATAACTGTTTTAACGCTCTCAGTACACAACATGCATCTCTACTCAGCAGTAGCAGATCCTACAACATACGCATACGTTTAACAGTATGCAATCATTATAGCCTGCAAAAAACGCTTGTCTGCCACCATGCTTTCTCGCTATACTTAAGCTTTTTGGGGCAAACCCTAAACGTTTCTTGAATCATGATACAATTACACATAAAATAAACACTTCACTTAGCACTAATCTCCGGCGATTCCTTGCTTCTGATATGAAACATACAACTTCATTAATCACTGACAACGGAGATAGAATGCCCAATAGCAAAACCTACGATCTTGGCCTTCTTGTGCACCCTTCCAATGATTCTAGATTCTACCTCAATGAAACCCCCATTTTCCTACCTAAAAACAAACACCTTACCCATTTTTAGCATTTCCTCCCAACGTGTTATTTTATCCGCACCTATCGACCAGTGAACAAAATAATTCTCCACTCACTAGTTGAGCTAATGATGTATCCAATTTTATTATCTCTCCAAAACGTCCTTTTATTTTATCTTATTCCTACATTATCTACTGTCTTAGATCTCAAGCTCACTTAACTAGTCTATGATGAATTCTAATTACTGAAACCTGGTAGACAAATGGCATTTTGGATTTACACTCCGTGTAGATATTCACAAAATGTACCATAATGGTCGAAATTCAGGCAAAGGTGAAGGTTGTATAATTATATGTGCGATCTGTTTTCCCATGGAATATATTCTTCTCAAAGGGTTGTGGACGGTTAGGTGATGCTACACTCGTAACTGTAGATGATTGTTCCCATCAGCATTTCATAACAGATTGCGTTTGTAGACCGCCAAGTGCTACTCATGTGGCGGGTGTACATTTAAATCAAATATTAGCATAATTATCATCCCTACCTATAGCTAAGTCAGTTGGAGGCTATTTCAATATGCCCTCTGTGTATTGGAATTCACCACATGATCCTTCTCATTTTGATGAATTCATTAAAGTGCCAGAAGCAAACAGTTGGACACAGGTGGCCAATAAACTCACTAGAAAAAGGTAGACATATGGGCTTAATTTTCATAAGCAGCGCCCCAGCATATTAGTCTTGAATTTTCAGGCATCGCCAACAAAGTTTTAGCCTGTCAACTTATTGAGCGGATGTGCTCTTTCACTTCTACTGGGAAGAAATTTTCTCTGGATTTTTGTCAGAAGTTTTTCAAATACTAACTGGTCCTATGTCGAAATTGTACTAAGTGATCTTAGTTGGAACAAGTTTTCCTCCTCCAGTGAGGCTAATAATACACTGCATTTTTTTTCATTTCACTATCAGGACTTGTTTGGTCATAATCGCTCCAATTACAACGAAAACAATACACATTCCTCAATGTGATTATTTCACTATCAAGTTCAGATATAAGTTCAGGAGGCCAAGAAAAATGTGCTTTGTTCAACATGACTTTTCGGTATCATCTACATCTAGTCAGTATTTGAGCAAATTAAAACTTTCGATAGACAAAGGAATTGGAAGTGGAAAAAATGAATTCAAGTTCACAAAATAAGAATTGATTTTTTACAGCTACTATAAAGAAGAAACTTTGCATTCAGCCTAGCATTCCTACTGTCCTTAAAGCGGATGATGAACTTATAAAAAACCCAGCATAACTATGTGAACTTCATAGCGACGCATCTGGACAGACATTAATTAAATGTAATGAAGATGAATGTAAAATGCGATCGATAAACAAACTCACCAATAGTGAATTGAAACGCCCACCACCACACTAACTTTCCTTGACCTTGTATGACTGTGTCTTATTTATTCACCAATTACAATTCGATGTTCATTATAAAACAATATTTGCTTCGTTGACTCATTTTTCCTATTCTCTAGCTACTGCTCGGTACATTATTTATGTCTTTGTTTTTCCCTGTGTTAATAAACTGTACTGTTTCTCTTGTACACTAACAGTGTTAATTTATGTTTCAGAAACAGATTAAGTATATCAAGCCAAATAGCTTACTTGTTCTGACTTTGGCTAAACCAAGACTCTGTATTCGACAGTCTATGGAATAGCTTCGAGTTGAACCTGTAGGAAATCGCTTCCTACAATGAAAGTACAATGAGCAGTTTAAGCTCACATACATTCGCAGACCTAGAATTCACGCAGAATATTTTGAGAGGTGTGTTAATGGCATAAAACCTTTTGGAGGTGGTTACGTTGGGATACCGGCTAAAAATGGGCATTCTGACATTAATTATGCCTACTAAAATATTTGCTCTGCGCTTTGAGACAAGCACTTTCCTTAGGCAATAGAAGGTCCGATACATAGTCAGATAATTTAAAAGAAGTCTAGATTAGACGTAGACAAACGTTCTCCAACCCTTCACACATCCATCGTATCTGGTACTATGGCAATTAATGTTCATCTTGATTGGTAACACTTGATCACGTCATCGAAACGTGGCTTCATCTCCAAGCATTAAGGACGAAAAGTCGTTCAGAATAATTTGAATAGGTAATAAACAAAGAGAATGGGAAGAAACCAGTTG